CATCTGGAAACCAACCTTTGACAAAAAGCTGGTAAGCTGCCTCAATTATTCACTGAGCCCTAAAAAGGAAGGAATAAATTGCAGGCCTGTTTGTTTGTTTGTTTTTGTTTGTTTGAGTGACTGCTTTCGGGAGGGAAAAATGGGTAATGGAAGTTGAGGATTTGCCAAAAAAAAAAAAAAAAAAAAAAATTAAAAAATAGCTCAGTTGTGAAAGCAGCTTCGCTATAAATGCCTTTCATTACCCGTAGCCTCTTGTTTCATGGCACAGCTCCAGATATTACTCACATATTTCTCAATAGGTTTCAAGGACTTTATTGAAATGCTAAGTGAGGACCATAAAAGGATATGTTTACTTTTCCGCTACAATTATGAGGTCATGAAAAATACGGTTGTACAGCTAAAATCACTCCCCCCCCCCAAAGAAGTTTTGCAGATGTGTAAATGCAGGCAAAGTAGCACTTAAAATCCATCCTTTCAAGAAGATTTGACTCTGGGCGGTGGGCAATATACTGGTGATGTCTCATAGGATTATGCACTTGAAACCTATATAATCTTACTGACCCTTGTCACCCCAGTAAATTTAATTTTATAAAAAGCTACATACTGAAATGAATACAGCTAGGTGATAAAAACAATGCATCTTTTCTCTTTGGTTTAGAAAAAGAATCCAGGAGATAGAGACATAAAATGGGGTTCTGTTTCCATCAGACTAGTAAGGAGGTGAGGAGGAGATTGTCAGGCTGATCTCTGAGGACACGGTTGTCAAAAATTAACTCACTTTCCAAATGCAGCGTGGCTATGCCCGTGGAAATCTCTGCAAGTTAAGGATGCCTAAAAAGTACTTCTAGAAGATAGACCAGGTATTTTTAGGAGCCTGTTGCTATTTAATTCAGTGCCTTAAAAAGCATGAGTGTAATGAAAGCATGATATTGTCCCAGAATGGGCCAGACAGCAGCACTATTCGGTTACGCGACTATAAGCAGTAGTCCTGTCCTCTCTGCCACCAGCTGCCCTGCAAACTCTATGTGGTAAGTGATGAAGACAAATAGGCGACAGTGTGGTTATCTCACCGCCAGTACTGGCAAAAGCCAATGACAATACATGCCTCACCGTTGGACCTATTTGCATGAAGTTCACGAGACTATTATTGCTTCTCTCAGGTTCTTTGTTCCAGAGTTTTAAAAAATGTATTTGTTATAAATCAAGTAATTCATGGCAATTACTCCAAAACAGGTTATTTTTCCTGGTATGAATCAGAAGTTTCTTCAATAAATATCACTCTAATTTTTCTTGATCTCCTGAGAGTCA